CGTGAGGAACGCAAGGAACGTGACAGACGTGAGCAGTGGGAACGCGAGGAACGCGAGAGACGCGAGAGACGTGAGCAGTGGGAACGCGAGGAACGCGAGGAACGTGAGGAACGCGAGAAACGCAAGCAGCGAAAACGCGAGAAACGTGAGGACCGCAAGCAGCGAAAACGCGAGAAACGCGAGGACCGCAAGCAGCGAAAACGCGAGAAACGCGAGGACCGCAAGCAGCGAAAACGCGAAAAACAACAAGTTTTAAATCCAAGTGGAGAAATGCAAGAAAGGGCAGAACGTGAATTGGAACCCTTAAACCACCAATCTAGATTTGATCGTATTCGTGCGAGCGAGACGCACGAAACTCATCGGATAAGCCTAACACGTTTTGTCGATCCACGCGTAATCTTACAATTTAGGGATCGTATCGAGGAAATATTACACAATCATCGTTTCGGAGGTATCAGATATCGACTCGTTTTAGGTGTAAATATGACGCGAGAGGCAGAGACGGCCATACCCACCTTTCACTCGGGTAAATATAGAGTTTACGATGGTTTAGATTTGGAAGGGGATGTAGATCGTATAGTCGTGATGATTGAGCGATGGGGTGAAAACGGATCGGGATGGAATATAAATCATCTCGAGCATCTCGATATAGAGATCGTTAGGTATAATCCCTTGCGCGGTGGTACGTACGTACCATTACCCAACGTGCTGAAAAATTAAAAGGCAATCGTCAACGTTAAAAACAAAGACGACTTGTGCATCAAATACGCCATTGCCAGCGCGCTTCATCCCGTCAAGGACCATACCGATAGACCCTCGAGATACGCTCCGCATCTAGACGAGCTCGACTGGAGCGGTATCACGTTCCCCACGCCGACCAAACAGATTAAAAGCATTGAAAAGAATAATCCGTGGCTCAAGATTAACGTTTATGGCTGGGAAGAAGAGGGTAGGGGGTATTTACATCCGGTCTACGTCGACGGTGAGCACGAGGGTCGTACGCTGATTAATCTCTT